ATGGTTTTGAATACGCTGCTCTGAACAGGTAGGCTTGCAGGAGTATGTGAGGAAAGCCACAGGTTACAGGTGTAACCTGTTAGTTAGCGAGTTCAACCTTAAGCAGAGAGAAGAGTTTGAGCATCAACGCAGCAGGTAAAACCAGAAAGGGGAATTTACATCCGACACTTAAAACTTAAAAAAAAAAAACCACTTTCCCTGACACGTGTCTCTGCATTTCCCCCACCACCTCCCCGCAGGCCCTCTGCAGCCTCGTCGGCTGCCCACCGCAGGAGGCTGGGGACATCTCGCCCTCCACCCAGCGCCCGGGAAAATTCCTTCCTGCAAAGAGAGCTGAGCTGCAGGCAGGAAATCTAAGACCCTCCGCGGGCGGTTTCGGGGTTGCGGCCACCACGAATTCCGAGGGCTTTCGGTTCCTCGCTGCCCTCTCCCCACCTGTGCCCGGGAAAACTCAACTTTCCCTTTAGATCGCGGCCCCTTACCTGCGGCGACCCAGCCGGCCAGCAGCGCCCCGAGGCAGACAAGGACACCGAGCTCGGGCACCCGGCCGCCTGAGGCCATCTCGTCCCAGATCCCGGCTCCGGAATCGCAGGCTCTGGCTGGGCTGAGTGTGCGACCCGGGGTGCCGAGTGCTCCTCCCAGGTCCTCGGAACGGCAGGGTGGCCCCACTCTCCTGGGCCCCCGGGAAGGATGGATGCTCGGCTGAGCCCGACGTCCGGGTTGCGATCAGCGCTCCGGGCTCCCGGGCCGGGGAGGAAGGGCGCACCCCGCCCCCTGCGCCCGCCTGCCCGCTCCCGCCGGCGGAAAACAACAGGAGCGGGTCTCTCCGCCTCCCGTCCAGGCGGGAGCCCCACTTCCTCTACCTTGGCCGGGAAGGAGGGCTTTATGCAGAGGGCGCGCCTAGCCGGGTCCCGCCGGGCCGGGGGCGGAGCGCCGAGGCTGGGCCCTCCCGGAGTCGGCTCCAGCCGGGACAGTAGGCTGGAGTCGCCGCGGGGCCAGCTGGGCGGGACGGAGCCCGCAGCTGCCGCAGGACTCACCCCCGCCCGGGGCCGCGGGCTGCGGACTCTGTTGCCAGGCTGCAGAATGCGGTGGGACCCCCTTGCCGTCCCCGCTGGGCGTCCCGGGGGATCCTTGCCTGTGTCCCCACGCGCGGGGCGGGCGCCAGGGCCGCCATCGCCGCCTTTTTTCCACCCCTCGCAGAGGGGAGCGGGAGAAAGACGATCCTAGGACCTTCCAGCCAAAAGCAGCCACGAGACTCCGGTTCTCCCATTAACTGGCAGAGACCACACAGTAAGAGCGAGGGCCAAGGAGTCTGCAGGACTTGTTTCCCCAGAGTTTTGTTTTTGTGTTTCCTTTTTTCGTTCTCCTACCCCCACCCAGCCAGATTCCCCGCCGCGCCCACGTCCCCTCTGTCGTGGGGAAATTCGTCTGTGATAGCCTCAGGAAAAACCTGTTAAAAATCAAAACAAAACTGCAGTTAGTACAGTAAAATATTAATTGTAGGCTCTGGGAGGTGGGGGTGTAGGAGTTCACATTCTTTCAACTTTTTGTAGGTTTGAAAATGTTCAAATGAAATAATCAAGCTGGGCGCAGTGAGTGACTCACTCCTGTAATCCCAGCACTCTGGGAGGCCAAAGCGGGCCGATCTCCGGAGCTTGCGATGGAGACCAGCCTGAGGTAGAGAGAGACTCTGTCTCTAAAAATAGGCGGGC